CAGTCTGATTCCATAACAACATTCAAAACCCAACTCAAAACCCACCTGTTCAAACTGGCATTTTCTTTATAATCTGTACCCTGTGTCCCTTTGTGTCCTTTTTGTAGTCAATTTCCTGTTGTTTGTCTTGTCTTACCCCGGCTGATACTTCACTAAATCCACTGTTTTAATTTGTAAGGTAAAATTGTAAATGTAAATTGTAAATCTGTAACCCTGTAAGGTGTCCTTGGGTGTTATGAAAGGCGCCCCCCAAAATAAATGTATTATTATTATTATTATTAAAAGCCAAACAAAAGCCTCAGCATAACAAGAAACTCATTTCCAAAGCTTACCACCACTTTGTCTTTTTATGCGTTTTCACAGGAATGAAGATTTTTGTTTCCAAGTGAACATTTGTGGTTGCTGCTGCTTTCCATTTGGGAACAGCAGGAGGCCTTTATTGTGAAGCCGCTACAGGAAATGTTAGGAGTTTTCCTTATTGGTACTATGCATCATTAAAAACTGTTCACATAACTAAATCTATGGACATATTTGGCACCATTAGTAAGTCAGTGGATCTGTTTTTAAATATATTGCGGGAAGGGATAGTATAAGCAGTCAGATGTTATATCACTTCATCGTGCAAACATTTATTAAAAGGACCCAGTTTTTTTACAGTTTAGCTCAACGTCACTTTCCGTATCCACCACCAAACATCACCAAATTGAGGGCCTAACTCTCCAACACAACCCTGCTGAAACCTGCAAATTAAATGTACATTATGGCAAAAACTGAGCCATTATGTCTAAAAATGTTATTTAACATTACATGTCACTTGTTAGACGCTTTTATCCCAAGTGACTTCCATATTCAATACTGTGGGCAATCCCCACAGAAGCAATTTGGGGTGAAGTGTCTTGCACCAACGACATGCTGACTGCAGTGGGGTTTGAACCTGTGACCCCCTGATCCGAACACCAAGGCTCTATCCACTGCGCCACACGCCACACCACTTATTTAATAGTACTAGTAACGGCCCGTCCACACTACAGCTTCGACAGCTTCAAAAACGGTTTCCAACGCGTCTGCCCATTCACTTTGAATGGGGTGACGTCACTTTTCGCCGAACTGCATTGTGGGAAGCAGAGCGGAGCTTTCCTGGCGTTTCACGGCCCGTCTACACTACAGGCGTCAAAAAATGCTTTCAACGCTTCGCCCATTCATTTGAATGGGGTGACGTAGGATATTTTCAAACTTCGCCGAACTGCATTGTGGGTAGCATTGCAAGGCGTTGCAAGCATCGCGAGCGTCTATCGGCGTCAAAAGTTGAACAATGTTCAACTTTTGAGGCTCGATGCTTGCTCGAAGCTGGCGTCAGCCAATCAAATCCCGTTTTTGCAATTCCCGCCAGTACAAGCGCTAGCCAATCAAACCGCGTGCAAGCTGGGAGAGCCAGACCGCAGTTCATTTCCTCATATTCCAAACGAGAAATTACGGTAGCAAATCACCCGGTTCTTTCCGACCAGAACTATTTACCGGGATACAAACCGGAGGAACCAGGCATGGAGGGAGGTGGCAGAGACAGTGGGTGAAACTGGTAGGTTTTTGCCTGTTTGGGGATTTTATATCCAGTTTATTTCGTTTTAACATTGCTATTGCTTTGTATGTCGGGGGCGGGAGATTCATGTGATTGGTTGTTGGTCGCGTTGCTCGCAAAAAATCGCCAAGCTTCAGACACGCCCAGCTTCAAGCTTTTTCGACGCCTGTAGTGTAGACGGGCCGTCAGGCTGCAAAAGTTGAGCAAAATGTTCAACTTTTGAAGCTTCTGAAGCTTTCGGTGGAAGCGTCAGCCAATCAAATCATATGTCAGTACAAGCTCTAGCCAATCAAACCGCTGCTTGTGTGTCAGGGGCGGGAGATTCATGTGATTGGTTGTTGGTCGAGCTTCAGACACGCCCAGCTCCAAGCTTTTTTTTAAACTGTAGTGTGGACGGGCCGTAAGACGTTCCAAGAGCCGAAGTTAACATGGTGAACCTTCTTCGTCCGTTAGAAAAGCAATAAATATTCACATTCAGACGTTTTGCTGATTAATATGTAAAGTATGTGCTTTGGCTTTTTGCTTTACTAAATGTTCCAGTGCCACATTTTCCTAAATAGAAAGTTTCAGTATATGCATCTGCAGCACCGGTCATTTATTATCACGTTTGAACAAGATACCACGCAGTTAAAAAAAAAAGCAAGAACTGACTACTGGTATTCCCAAAATGTCTAAGCTTGTGTACAAGTGAAGGACTCTTCTGAGAGGAAACACAGAAGAGAGATACAGGGAAAATGAACTCTGAATGATCTCTGTTACTTCCAGTTAATTCAATAATCGTATTACGTCCTGAACAACTACAGTTTCAGGTCTACAGAATGCAGAGAGCCGCTGATCCTCATCTTCTCTCTGCGGTCAATTGATTACGGTATTAAATGAAGACCTCTGGCACTGAACGCTCCACTGCGTCCTATCATTGAAAAATTGATGAAATGGTGCTATAAGAGACGGTGTTTGGTTCTGACCCTGGAGGCGAAGATGGGGACACAAAAGCCTCTTTGGCTGAGATGACTCTAAATAGGGTCATAAATCAAGGTCTTACGCGCTGGTTACAGTTACTCCAACCTCAAATATGTCTCGTTGGAGTCGCTCCAAAAGATTTATATAAGACAATATCCTGAAGATGTTTATTAGTGCAGGATAAGTTACATAAGCTTGCATCCAATGATTTTTCATATTGATACTCTTCTCTAACTATCTTTTTGAATAGAGATTTTGAATTCATGATTTTAATTATACATTTGCCATCTTCTCCTGACATGTTTCACGTTTGATAACATTGGCTTTTTTTCCAAAAGGAACATTCAACATCTTAGGAAATATTTGCCTATTTTCTTCCTTGATTTCTCAGATCAAAATCTCTCATATCTGACTGTCAAATATGTAGAAACAAAAGTGGAGTTTTCATGGTGGGTTCAGTCAAAAAGAAAGTTAATGTGCTAAGTCAAGCAATAACCAGTCCCCTAAATCTTGTTTAAAAACTGTGCACTTTACTTCAGTTTTGTATGGATTAAAATATAAACTACACTGCGTTAATGAGTTGGATTGAGAGGTGCTGATAGGCCGATTGTATAACCTTTAGAAAGAGCAAAGATCGCTGTGTTTTTGGTCTTTGCTAAGCTAGGCTAAGCTAGGCTAGTTTACCTGGCTGCTGCTTCATTTTACTGAACAGACACGAGACTGGTTTCAATATTCTCCTCTTAATCTTTGTTTAAATAAGTGAATACGCATATTTCATAACATATTTGACTGTTGCTTGAACATTTCAGTATCTTAGTTTGTTTTTATGATTGAAAAAAAGGTTTAATTTAAATCCAGCAATACATTTGGTTTTGTTACAAACACTAAGGTATCATATCGGCAATACTGCAGCAATTGAAGCAGCTCAACTGAGGTGAAATGATAACCGATTGAGCTACAGAAACCTTTAAAAAACATCTCGCTCTGCTTCTCCTGAAACATGATGCTCGGCCCAATGATAATCCTTTCGTCACCATGGCAACAGCCCTGGCTCAGTCGCCCCTCTCTGCCCTCACGGTCCGATCCTGTGCAGGTTCGATATGATCATCAATGAGAGAAACTGTATCATGTGGGATTATATCTCAGAAAAACAGAGACAGTGTGTGACAAGCTCACAGCTGCTCGCTCCAAACAACTCACAGGATGTTTTTTAAAAGCCGCATGTCGCCCTAAAACCAAACGTCCGCTTTCTGTCAGCTATAAAAATGGCCAAAGAGAAAGAGACAAATAAAAAGAGAGAGTGGTGTCAAATTATTCAGCTGTGCTTGCCAAATATGTCTGGATGCTGTCAGTGATGCTAAAACACTCTTTTACTGCAGTAATAAAGCTGAATGGCGAACAGCTATTTTTGATTTTAACATTTAAACGCATCACAGTCAGCATGACATTTTAAAGAGCGACCAGTCTGCTTCCTGCGCCGATAGCCTGAGGGAAGACACAAGCTCTCCACGAGTGTGTGTGTGTGGTGTGTGTGTGTGTGTGTGTGTGTGTGTGTGTGTGTGTGTGTGTGTGTGTGTGTGTGTGTGTGTGTGTGTATCAATGACGTGGATTAGGTACACTCCATTTAGTCCCAAGAATGCAGCCAATAGGCCAAACACATCTCCCACAAGGACGAGCCTCGGGGCACGTTTCAGAAAAACAGGGTGGGACCGAAGGTAGACACACACACACACACATTCCATGTATACATCACTTCAGGGGACATTACATTGACTTACATGCATTTCCTGGAGACTTATCCTAACCTTAACCAACACATGCCTAACCCTAACCCTAAACCTAACCAAGTCTTCACCCTAAAAGTAATGATTCCCCTCATGGGGACCTCCAATTTGTCCCCATAAGGGAGGCGAGTCCCCACACGTGACTGTAAACAGATTTAGGTCCCCACAAGTATAGTAATGCTAGGCCACACACACACACACACACACACGCCCTGGCAGTTATAACCATATCTTCTCAGCCATTCACATCAATTTATACACACAGCTCTATCATGTGAATTTTCACACACATGACCACGCGCTGATGAATAATACAAAGGACATGCGTGTGAATCCGTGGTGCTAAAAGAGAAGATGATAACATCCTCATCAATAAATAAAGTATGCATGTAATGGAGAGGAAGTCCGCTCCACCGTGAGGATCCTCGCAGTGAACGGGCACACTTTGATCATGTGGAACAAGCTGCATGAAGAAAGAGGAAGTCTGCTAGTAAAGGTGATCAAATGCAAGAAAAACTGATTATAATGTGTATTTTCTGCAACACACATCTCCTATTTCAGTCCAAAGTCACATTAATACTCAGATTTGAGCGGCAGAAAAGCAAAAAAGTGACGAATAACCATATCAACTTGGATATTTTCCTGTATTCTGTTGTCACTACCTGAGAGGATTTCCTTACCGTACTAAAGGAGAGTTGAGTTGACAAAGGGACCCGGAGCTCTCTGCTTCCTTTAAAGAAAACCACAAACTCTGGCCACCATCCACACACACACACACACACACACACAGTTAAAAACAGCCACAGAGTGTGTCACAATGTGCTGCAGCAACAGCTAGTGATGACAATGTGATGTAACTTCAAATCAACAACAGACAAATGCATCAGGCCCAGATTTATGGTAGCACATCTTAGAAAAGGAGAATTATTGTTTCAACTGTGTTTTCATCAAAACTACATTTCCTTTACAACCATCTTTCTTTGTGTCCATATTCTGTTCAGTTTTGGAGCATATCCCAGCGTGTGCAATTCGTAAATACCTCCTTTGTTTTGATGACGCAGCATCAATGCTTTGATAGGCATCTTTAAGGCTGTTTTTGCAAGATCAACAGAGACACATTATGAAACAGGAAGATTCAACATATTGCATGAAATCTGAGTTAGAAAAGCAAAAATGCAATAAGCATAAAGTGTGTTTATCACAGTATCTGTAGCCTCCATAATCATAGCATTTAAAATGTATAGAAAGGATATAATGATCCTCCCCTTATGTACATCTTCTAAAGGGCCAGTTCAATAGAGTGACGCATCCTAAAACCCGGAAGTAAGCTGCGCATGGGTTCCTTCGACAAAAAAGCAATGCAATTTCTCCATAGGATGTTGGAAAATAGCTGGAATAAGGTCTGCGGTTGACACACATTTAAGAGACTGATCACGTTTTGTTCAGTCGGTTAGATTTATGATTCGAAAGACTGCGCAATGTGTTGGACCAACCACAGACCTTATTTCCAGCTATTTTCCAAAATCCTATGGATAAATTGCATTGCTTTTTTGTCGAAGGAACCCATGCGCTTTGAGTTTGTGTTGCTGTTGAATAGAATCCAGCTGCATTATATTGAAAGGTGTTTTTCTATTGTTTGTTTACAACATGTATATCAATGGGGGCAGGCTAAACAAAAGAAACGCCTCTGACAAAAACTGAACAGTATGACCTTCATGAAGGTTTGATTTAACGTCAGGATTATTATATTGAAAGCAAAACTGTTTTATATTTACCAAATAAGCTTGTCCCTTACCCCCATTTGTTATCATTAACTGTGGACTATGTTCATATGCTCTATTTCCTTTCTGTATCTTATTCATTTGTCGGTGGAACGACCCACGTGGATCATTAAAATATTATCTTACACAGACACACACCGACACGTGTCCAACACATTGCGCAGAACTGGCAACACACACACACACAGATCTTGAAAACAAAAGGCACATCTAATCACACACACGGTCCACAAGGCAATCTAGACATGTAGTGCAGACGACGTCTCCCCTCCCCCTTCCAGCCACCAAATCCACTTAGAGGCCAGTGTGTGTGTGTGTGTGTGTGTGTGTGTGTGTGTGTGTGTGTGTGTGTGTGTGTGTGTGTGTGTGTGTGTGTGTGTGTGTTGATTGTTTTCTCTCTGGCAGCTGCCCTGCCTCCCTCCTCTGTCTCGATCACCTAATCAAGCGGCAGTCAGGCAGAGTTGGATTGAAGGTGGGAGATTTAAATTTCCTTCAGTAATCATCACTGAATCCACCGGATCTTATACACGAGGGTAATAAATACTGGAACTGAAGTAAGGGTCCAATAGATTTCCATGTAAATAAAAGGGTCATTTCTCGCTAAAAAAGAAAGATCATAAGACGTTAAATACAAAAGGTCACCCTAATGTTTGAGCGCGAAGAGGAACATTCATCTTTGATGCTTGAGACGTTTCTGTTTTGCTCGTAAGACCTCGTGTTTTCTCAGAAGACCAAAGGTGGGAAACCTCATCTGCAAACAGGAAGTCTGGTATAGTATCGCTTGAGGGTTTCACAATTTCTCTTTCTCTCTTCTTTTTTGTTTATGACGTTGCGTTGACACAAATCTATTTCCAATTATTGTCAAGTGTGGGGGCATCACAGCGCGGAGGCAAATCAGCTTAAAAGGCCAAGATGCCATCTCATTTTCACAAACCAATATATGCACTGATGAGATTGTGTTCAAATTAAGCACACACACACACACACACACACACACACACACACACACACACACACGAAGAAGAAAATCCTCTCTCACCTGACAACAGAGGATTTACGCATTTTCTTTGTCTGTTGATCCACTATTTATTATCGAACTCATCATTTGGCACAATTTGCACGATGGTTATTTCTGTAACCCTGTCCTTTAGTTCACTGAGCTACCTCATCGATTACTGCCGCTTCAGACCTGGTGTGTGTGTGTGGCCTAGCATTACTATACTTGTGGGGACCTAAATCTGTTTACACAGTCACGTGTGGGGACTCGCCTCCCTTATGGGGACAAAATGGAGGTCCCCATGAGGGGAATCATTAATTTTAGGGTGAAGACTTGGTTAGGTTTAGGATTAGGTTAAGGGTAAGGGTTAGGCATGTGTTGGTTATGGTTAAGGTTGTAATTTCGTTGTACCTGTACAATGACAAATAAAGATCTATCTATCAGGTTAGGATAAGTCTCCAGGAAATGCATGCAAGTCAATGTAATGTCCCCTGAAGTGATGTATACATGGTGTGTGTGTGTGTGTGTGTGTGTGTGTGTGTGTGTGTGTGTGTGTGTGTGTGTGTGTGTGTGTGTGTGTGTGTGTGTGTGTGTGTGTGTGTGTGTGTGTGTGTGTGTGTGTGTGTGTGTGTGTGTGTGTGTGTGTGTGTGTGTGTGTGTGTGTGTGGTTTGTTTGTAGAGCATTTCATGACTCAAAGACCCTTCATTCACACCCCCCCCAGCCGCAGCGGGCCATGCTTTCACACCTCGCCCTACTAAATTAAAACCTGCTATGCTCACCTTGAACTGCAACTATTAAAACACACACTCTCTCACACACACACACACACACAAATATACCCATACACACAGTTTCTGCTGAGAATGTTCAGCACCGTGACAACAGCCAACCACATTACAGCTCCTCTGAAACGACCAGCCAATCGCCTGCCTCCCTTCGTTTGTCACCGACCAATGAGAGTGCTCGCGTGCACGGCTCGTTTTACATGAGCAGCTTTCATCATTGTTCCAGAGGAGATGTCGTGGTGCTGCTGCTCACAGGAGACAGAGAGCTTTTCATTAACACAACAGCTGTAAGAGTCCCTGACGGACGTTATGAACATTAAGGTCTGCAGCGCCTCATTCATCGTCTCTACTGCACATCCTGTACTGCTCTTTGATATCAGGTGTTATTGTTGCATCAGTGTGTGTTTGTTTACATATCTTGCATTTCAAATGTTTTGTTTTCTTATATCCAGATACATACAACGACCAATCTGTTTAACTAAAAGTGATAGTCTTTATCGATTAATCTGCCAATTATTTAACATAAGCAGATGTTTTGTGATGTTCAACCAACAGTCTTAAAACTAACAGACGACCAAGAGAATCCGAAAATGTTCACATTTAAGAAACTGAAACAAGTATATGTAGTCCTTTTTACAATACATAACCAACTAATCTGTTCAGCTCTATTGCTTTGAATTATGGGAAAAATAAGTATCTACAGAAGCTACCTACCTAAAAGATGTTCTCAAGTAATATAGCATCTATTAATATTACAGTAAGATTAACCTTCCATTTGTAGAAAAAGCCAGACATCATTCAGAAATCAATAAAAACAGCAAATTGAAAATGTCACTTTTCTCCCAGAATATTAGGAGACACGGTAAAGCAACACACCTAAAGAACTCAAAGTATTAGATTTGACTAAATGTAGTATAACATGAAATGATGGAGAATCCTTGTTAGAGCCAGTACTTTGATTTTATAAGAAACGCCACTTAATTGTGACGTCTGTAGTCAACGCACTATAAAGGACTACATTTCCCACGGCGCCTGTGCTAAAGCCACAGTGATGGGCAACCTGTTGAGAGACGCCGTCGAGGAACAGTTTTTAACCGTACACGTACATACAAACCGTACAAGTACTCTTTAAGTTACGAAGTTATAAGCATTATCAAGAAAGAAAGAATACCTAAGTTGTTTGTTATTTTATTTGAGTTTTGCCTATTTCTTTTGAATATTGTAAAGGCCTATTTTCTTTGTTGCATGTGTAAAAGTTTGTTATTTTATTTTGAGCAAACACATTGCAACATCATCTAAACCATCGGAGGCCAAGCAACTCTTCAAACTGTGAGTAATTTAAAGGAAAGAAACGAGTTAGAACTGTCTGTTTAAGGCGTCTAGTGGCTTGATGGAAAGACAAGGAAGGAAGCCACAACAATCCTTCTTACCTGAAGCTGCTTCTGAGGTCATAATTGTTAGATAAACAGCTCTGAAGAAGCACCAGTGACCCTTATGGTTTCTAGCTGATGATATGAGAGGAAGAGAGAGAGTGGCTCCTAGCAACCGCTGCCTGTCAGGAGGCTTTAAGAGGTGTGTTCCCAGGACAGACCCGAATGAATCAATGAATGCATTCATCAATGAATGGATGAATGATCTGTAGAAGAAGAAAAATAAAGGAAGAAGGGCGACGCTTTGAATCCCTGCAGGGAAGGTGTGTGAACTAGGGCTGCTCAATTACGGCAAAAATCATAATCTTGATTATTTGGGTCAATAATTGATATCACGATTATCCATTTACTTTGAAAACACCCATTTATTGAAAAAAAATTTAACAGTATGTTTTTAACAGTTGATTACCCTGAACCCTGAAGCTCTGAATTGTTTTATTTACAGATAAAGACGACGCAAACATAAAGGAAGAGCCTGAAAAAAGGTGTCATGATACTTTGTTTTTATGTTTTCTTTTGTTATGAGGAGTGTCTATGGCAGGGGTGTCAAACTCAATTTCATCGCGGGCCACATTAGAATTATGGTTGCACTCAAAGGGCCGGTGGTAACTTTAAGATGATATAATAAAAATACATAATAAATATAAAATAATGTATTATTTTACAATATTTCCTCTGCATTGAATTATTATCGGATAGGGTAATAAATTAATAATTAACTATGTCTGAAAGCAGAAGTCTAGGGA